GACGCGTTTCCATGCAGCAACCAGAAACCTGTTTCGAAAGTATTTGTTTAGTTTTCGAAGATATTTTGCCTTGTTAAAATAATTTCGCAGTAACAGATACGTCTACACATTTGTAAAAGAAATGGCATACATTACATTTCATATACAATGCATAGTCATTTGCCAGACTTTGTAGTTCCAAACTTATTTTGGTGTTTTCGTTTTGACTCATAAAATGAATTTAAATTCCGTCACAAGTGACGACATTTGCAAAATACCATGCATTGTCATTTAACAACTTAATGCAAAGCACGCGAGCCTTTTTATGCCCGTCTGTAAGCAAATTGGAAATCAATCCTCAATCTAAGGCCGACGGGCATGGGGTGCATCTTCTCATTTCTCAATAAACTTAAGTTTGGATGGCTACATTTGAAACATCAACGGATGGAGTTTTTATGACCATAATATGCTAAAAAAAAACATCCCATTAATGTATCAGAATACACATTTAATACCACTGAGTTAACAAAACATAAGAAGCATTATGTTTTAATTCTAATAATAAAATTCTTTCAACAGGAGTCACATTGAATTCCGATAAAAGACTATTTCTTACAAAAAGAATCTACACAACCAGAACCATCTTTGATTCTATCAATATGTATAATTTTCAACACAAATACTTGTATTTCCTAATAAATGATTTTCAGCAATTCCAAGTGTATCATATAATCAAGATAGTTATTCTTTGTCTAAGAAAATAATTATCTGAATTATTACATGAACTCCATCCACGCACATTCCAGTATCCACACTTAGTCTGAAAATGACCATCTCTGTAGAATCTACTATTTTGTGACTTCTTGATCTGTCATGAAAACTGGACCGTGCTGAAGAGGAATTGTGAGAGTCTCTATAATAGCCTTTATCATTATCTGAAAAAGAAGAATGTCTGTCATTTGTAAAATTTTGAAAGTATGCACTACGCGAATGGTTTTTGCGCGAGTAACGTGAAAAAGAATTTTGTCTGTCAATATGTTTATTATCACTAGGATTTCTATTAGTACCTATATATCGCGAGTTTCCACCGTGAAGACGCATTATTCCTCAACAACTCCATCTCCATGGAGTGAGATATTACAATCATTATCTCACAACACATGGTTATCAAATTCCGTTTGACAGGTCTCTTCTATGTTGTCTGATCTTTGTAGATTAACACTTTATTGTCGTGTTCTGAATCTTTTAATTTACGTTTAGCATTCAAAATAATTTTCCTTTCTTCAGTATCTTGGAGAGTAGCGATTACATTACCATCACTTGAATTTCTACATGTATTGAGAACGATTTGATTCCCATACCATCACTTATCAACAACTTTACCTTAGAATTCAGATATTTTCATCTTCATGAAAAGGTAGACCCTTTATTACAAAGTTACAGTTTCTTCTGTTGTTATGACTTTAATGGCCAAACAGTCAAAATGTTTGAATCTTACAATGGCCGACTTTTTTCGTAATGGATGTTTTTTTAAAAAGTGGCCGAGTTTTCTTTCCTAAATGTCATTGTGAAAAAGTATCAGCTCTGAATTGGAAGTGGTAATGCGCCCAATATTGCACAGTTAATTAATAATGCTTAAAGAAACTCATATTGAATCATGAACCTCCGAACCTTAGGCCAGACTAAGAAAAAGACAAAAGTTTTTCGTTGGCAGAAACTTATCGCTCTGTAGCATTGTCATCGAATGAGATGCCATGGTCATGACTATAAATTAGGTGAAATTTTAAATTTAGAAACATCCGCACATGTGTCCATGCGGCGGTTATCATGGAACCTTCAATGTGACACAAGAGTGCCATTCCATGAAAAGCGGCGTATGGTCCCCAAGTAAAAGAATGCTTTTGCCCTAAACGAGAAAACAATGGGGAACTAAATAAAATGGAATTTTGAAAGTGGATCTGAGCTTATGAAGCCTGCATATCACAGATCAGACGTCAAAAGACAAATTTAAAAAGCAAGCAACATATCCTATGGGTGATTATACAGTATTCAAGTAGGAATACTGGAACCACTCAAGTTGAAAATGGCCAAAAAGAAGAAACTAAAAGTACCACATAACATGTATACACAACAATAATGTCTTGCTGAACGATCTTCAAGGATCGAAAATATAACATCATTGATTAAATGTACGGGAGACTTTTTATAGCCGCCACACGGCACAAATAGCACGTATGTGACAATAAAATAGAGAAAAACAGAATCCAAAAACAAAAACAAAAATAAGTTCCCTTATACGTAGTTGTAGAAGAGTTATCGGAAGACTGGTATAATTGCTTATCAGTTTTTACCACCACTACTCCACCACTACTCCCTAATCTACAGGATTTTTCTTGCATTAATCCCCTCGAAAATATGGACAAATAGTCCTGTTGGTATTTACAAACCGATGATTTGACTTCTTGAATAGTGTTGGAATCACTAATGTAAATTTCAAGCCACTACTAATAGTCCAAACCTGATTTCATGAAAAACATGCCAAGCTAATAAATGTTTAAGAATTTTCAGCTCAAGCATATAACATTTTTGCCAAACAATTTTGATATTTAAAATTTTAAATATTCACAGCTGGTTCTTGTGGGATTTGAAATGAAAGCGTTATGGTTTTATTTGTCATTGAATTTCAAAAGCTCCAAGTACCGATAGCTTTGACTAACCTAGGTTCAAAGTCAAATGAGATAATGACATGATACGCATATAGCCTTATTGTTCCGCAGTGGAATCCATAAAACCTAAAATCAAAAGGAGTGTCTCCTGAGGAATCTCCAAGCCAGCCAACCCTAATTAATCCACAAACCACTGGTTTAAATTCTCTTACCTAGCTGTTTTGTTATTATTGCCATTCCAGGATGGCGACATATACAGTTAACAAGATTCGACCATTTCTCCCTGATCAACGCCTGCCATTCGAAACGCATGATTTAATGCAAACCTCAAAAAGGGGCGCCTACGGAGCACGCCATTCGCCATGTTTTTGTCGAGTTAGCTTTATATAGAATTAAACTACTTTCTTCATGTGCGAACCTCGAAGCAAGTGTGAGGGTTTCTACAGGGTAAACAATATATGAAATATTTCTCTTATATAACTCCATAAATAAGAAGTGCAGAGTAACGATTCTTGTGTACTGTACTTTGGGTCATTGAAAGAGGCATGCATACCAAGTTTTGAGTCAATCCGACTCAGTGGCTGAGTTATGCTCCGAACAAACCTAAGGTGACGCCGCCGACACCGCTGACGCCGCCGAAATAAACCCTTTATTTTTCAAGGCGAAAAAAATGTGCAAAAGAAGCCTTTCCTGAGATAGTCCTGCGGTAGAAATAAGGTGATAAATACTGCAAAAATCAGTCATTCATTACATTCTATATGTAAATTATTACTTAAACCGTATATATTGTTTGCTTTCCTTAAAACTTTCAGTGCATGTTCATTTAGGTTTTTTCTTGAATTTTTTCAGCTAGTCTGGAGGCATGCATCTTTAATGCACGAAGAACTTGGGCATAAACCCTCTACTATTGCACAAACATATAATAAATAACGAAAAACATGTACTAAGAGTGTACGTATCATAATATAAAATGATAAGGCTTCCCGCCCATATATCTATCCCGCCATTTTAACACCAATTCCCAAAACAATGTTAAATATGGTGGCATTTTTCCGACAACATATACATGTTATTATCGCTTTCATTCTGTTTTATTGTGTTTCATAAACAAGCATTTTTTTATATCTGTATGATATCAACTATAAATAATTGTTTGCACTTTCTTTCTATCTCGTATACAGGCTATTGACATTCCAATACCCAGTTTTATGATGAATAAATCTTAGTTTTGTTGAAATTTTAAAAGCGCTGTGTTTTAAAATCATGTAATTTTTCAAGTGCCTTATGATTTTTAAAAAAAATGAAAACAAGTTACTTTACCCGTTATCTCATAAGTAACGCCATGATTATTTATCTCCTATTAGAAAAAAAATCTGATTAAGATATTTTACTACTAAAATAGTTATAAATTCTAATGAACTGGACATTATTTTCTGTTATGATGTCATTTCTTATATAACGTCATCACTTAACTTTCCTTCCACAAAAAGGTAGTCAATTACAGCACTGTTTGCTTCAGCCAATACAATAACAAACTATATAAGATTTTATTTTATTCTCATACCGACTGCAGAATACAGAAGGGTGAACTACACAATAGTTTCAACTAAGTTAAAAGTATATTCATGCTGCTGCAAACATTATGTAGAGAAGTCACATTGGCATGTTGTCAGATACTGTACATAATAACTACATAATACAAATATATGCAAAAATGTGGTAATATATTAAGAAATTCACAAGCACCCAGTGGCACAAAAATCTATTGGATTATAATTACATTTATAATAGATTTTCACATCATTTTGGAATGAAAAATACTACATGTACTTTCCATATAGTAATTGTATATACAAAGTAGACTCCAGTCAAGTGTTTTGATTTTTTTTAAACATAATTATATTATCAGGACCACTTGCATGACTGTTAAATACCACGTGACTGTGACCGTGCAAATGATTAAATATTGATATGCATTTTTATCAGCTTGTACATTGGTTACATTTACAGTTTCTACTTTCATATATCGTTTAGTGCTATTGTACATCAATGTGTGACTATATGTTGAAAACTTATCAAAAAGTATTCATTATTTAATCGAAACATATATGAAATAGAAAAAGAAAAAAGTTTGGATCAAAAAAAAAAAAAAAGAAAATGAAGAAAAAAAGACATGTTGCTTACATATTGTTTAATTAATTGCAATTCTTAATTTCATTATTTCACAATAATGAATAAATGTAAAACTATGGATATATTAACCTTTTCTCCTTGATTACTGCAAAGAAACTTCAAATTTTCTGTGAAACAACACGAGGCTTAGATATAAAAATGCTTCAACTCATCGCTATTGCATTATTTTAAGTCGTATTCTTTAATGAAGTTGCGGCCTTTTGATTGATGATGTTCAGTGATAAACAATTTCCCCTGGTCTTCACAAAGAAGGAGTGAACATGGATTAAACACATTTTGCACATAGAGAGGTAAAAGTTCTCTTGTACCAGGTACAATAACTCTAATATTGTCACTTTCACATGGATCACAAATAGCAACATTTCCGCAGTTGGTGAATGTAAGGCCATGTGGAAATTCCATCTTCTTACTTTTAATTGTAGCTTTCAGATGTCCTGTCAGTGTAAATTCATACACGGCATTGTTCTTATAGTCAGACACGTACATACTCTCATTTTCGCTACTCAGAGATACATATAGTGGCACCCCAAGTATACTTGTATCACTGACTTGATGAAGAACATGACCTTTCATGTCTAATATCTGGACAGCTGGAGATTTACAAAACGTCACTGCTATTATACCGTTGTGATGATCTATTCCAGCACATCCTTTCCTGACTTGCAGACTGTGACTTACAGACAATCCATTTTGTGTATTTATAAACATGATTTTCCCCTCATCAAATAAAGTTGTTGCAGCAGACAAGGAATTTATTGTAGTGACGTCAACTGGCCCACTCGGAGTTTTCAATGTTGATGTTATTTTACACTCTTTATGATTGAATACTTTTAATGATACATTTCTATAGTCTGCTAATAGAATTTCAGCTTCAGATATAACTGCCATTCCCGTAATATAACAATTTGTTTCTGCTTTTTCCTTTATGTCGATTTTCTTCACAAAATTTGTCTTCATGTCAATGATACTTTTTCTGCATCGTCCCGAGAATTTCTTCACTTGTCTATCAAGGTTTCCAAGGCATGTGTTTTGCATTTTCACATCCTTCAATTCTTTAGAAGGAGTAAATTTTAAAGTGTTAATTTGACTTTTAGATGAAATTTCCTCATTTATTTCATGACATCTTTGCAGTTTCTTTAGTATTTGTTTTGATGTAACAAATAAGTTATTGATATTGTCTTTACACTGTTCTTGTTTATTTTGAAATTGTTCTATTTCATAGTTTAAAGCCTCGCATCGACCTTGAATTGTTTGCTGTTTAGCGATATCGCTCGCACTGATCTTTTCAACTTCTTGTATAAGGTCATTTTCTACCCTGTCAAGATAATTGTCCATCTCTTTACGAAACGTCTTGATTTCCTTCAATATAGTTATCTTTATCTCATCCGCTGTTATCAGACTGCATTTTATTTCTTGTTTACAAGAATCCAGGTTTTTCATAAGGTGATCAATACTATGTTTGATCCGAACAAATGCATCACTGTCGTCATAGTTACAGGACACGTTTGAAACGAGTTGAACCTTGCAGGAAGTATGTTCCAGTACCATACAATCTCCACATCCGACACTATCGTGATCCTGACAGTAAAACTTTACTATTTCGTTCTTATGAACATCACATAGTTCAGTGCACGGATCACTTTGAGTGGACAGTACTGTCGGCATTTCATCTTTAGATTTAATCACGTGATTCTTTGTTACGGCCAGCTTCCGGTGTGCCTTGATACAGGATGAACATAAAAACTCATTACAGTTTTCACAAAAACCCTCTGCTAGTACAGTATCACCGTCAACTTTGCATGGCTGACATGATCTAATAATATCTGATGATTCTTTACGTCCCAAAACTTCCATTTTGTCTATTCACAAACAGATTTCCCGTAGCAAAGAAGGTTTGTCAACTTATGGTATAGCAATCCTATCTTTACACGGTATCCTTTTTGATTATAAATTCCCGGGCACCATAGAAATAATGTAATTTCATTTGCGCAAAACAATGAAACAACTGAGTCTATGTTTTCAGAAAATCATGTCATCAATGAAGTTGAAGTCCCGGTATCATTTGTATTTATATTTTTTTTTAGTTGAAGGAAGATAAATCTTCATCTTCATTTTCATACCGAAATGCCACGATTAACTACAATAGGTTTAAATACAATATACTTTTGGACATCGTTAAAGGTCGGCTATTGTGTGACCAAATGCCTGTTGATAACGTATTTGAACTTGTTTGTAGTGACTAAACTTGTACGTTTAGTGTTGTAAATTCTCTGTAACATTATTAAAAGGGATAACACCCGAGAGCAATGAAAACAAAGCTATTGTGAATCAAAGTTATTGTATATATTCTTGTGAAGAAATATTTTAATGTAGGACACCCCTAATGGGCACTATAAGGTACTGTAAAATATACAACATAGGACAGTTATATGCCTTGAAGGACACATGTATGCAAAATTTAAACAAATTTACCGTATGGTTTATGAGTTATGGACATTTTTTCTGAACCTAAAATTTGTTATTGGAAGTTTTTTTTTTCAGAAATGAGGTAACTCTAAAAAACCTATAATATCATCATCATGAAAATGTTTTTGCTATTGATCATTGTTAAGGAGCAAATAAAAGCATTCAGGTAACAAATGATAATATAATAAAAGTCAAACACTTTTTGCTTTCCATAAGCGATCTTAGAAATACATAACTAATGTTAAAATATAAAAAGTTGTCCCTTCTGTGGTTTGAACCCACGCCCCTCAGTTTTAATGCAGTTGACAGTAATTCGGAGGTAATGCATTAGGGGAATACTACTATTTCAAAGTTCTACTAATCTATTTTATATACAATGTATTTTAAACGTAAAAAAATATGTTTTATGTGTTTTATTCACAAAAACGGGTAAATATTTTGTTACATATCGTAATCTTCTTATTTTCTATGCAACATAATCATTATACGTAATTGAATCTTAAATGAGCCGCGTCATGACAAAACCAACATAATGGGTTTGCGACCAGCATGGATCCAGACCAGCCTGCGCATCCGCGCAGTCTGATCAGGATCCATGCTGTTCGCTATCAGTTTCCAATCGCAACTACTCGGCCCTTTCCGTCAGTCTTCGGATAAGGACCTCGAACACAATAGTATGAATACACAGAACGGATGCGGTATTCCGGTCTAACCTACGCTAAGAAACTAAACATGTAAACAAATAGTAATTTAATGCTGGGAGTTGTTGAAACGTTTATTTCCAATATATGTACATGTAGTAAAAGTCCACCTAAAATAATTGAATTCATAGGTACAAAAGCAAACAATACATTATTTATATATTTACTAATATGGCTGTAGAAACCGAAAGTACAAAAAACCAACCGGTTGACATTTGGTCGGATTTATTTAGAATTGAACATCAGTGGGCATATTTAAATTACAAAATTGTTGCCAGACATATTTTCAAGCATAAGAGTACCGGAACAGACATTAGATGTCAAATATATACATTCGTTTTACATTATCTCTGTTTCTGTTTACATCTGTAAACCACGTGGTAGAACTACTTTCAATCCGTATTGTTTCCGAGGTTAATATTATAGATAATAGCCGAGACAGTTCCGAATGTATCAGTTTCTCTACTTGTTATAGGGTTGGTAAGCGAACAGCATGGATCCTGATCAGACTGCGCGGATGCACAGGCTGGTCTGGATCCATGCTGGTCGCAAACCCATTATGTTGGTTTTGTCATGACACGGCTCAAATATTGTTTGCTTTTCTTAAAATCCTAGTACATTTTTTAGGCTGATTTTCTTGTTTTTAATTGGATCATATGTAGCTTTAATGCACGAAAATTTGGGCCTCTACTATTGTACAACCACGTAATAAATAACCAAAACATGCACTGACTGTGTACGTATACCCATCAATATCGAATGCTAAATCTTCCCGCCATTATATGTTTTCTGCCATTTTTATAAATCTTTTCCCAAAACAATGTAAAATAAAATGAAACAACATACATGTAATTATCGCGTTCATTCTGGTTTTATTGTGTTTCATGCAACAAGCATCTTCACTATAATGTAGTTTCTCCGGTGCCTAAAGATTTAAAAACTGATAAGAAGTTACAATGTATTCATTAAATGGAAACATACATGAAATTAGAAAAAAAGATGTTGACAAGATACAATAACGTAGAAACATAAATGGCATTGTTTAATAAATTGCCATTCTTACACAGGTGGCAACGTCCAATCAAATCGCGTAAATACAACTCCAAAATGACCGGACAAGTAAAAAAAAATACCGTGAAACAGAAAAAATCGATGGTATATTGATATTCGTTGTACTTGAATTAGGTAAGCTGTGGAATTCTAGTTCTTTTTATTTGTGTTAAAGATCCTGTGTGTTGTTTTCAAAGTGGTAAACCACACTAGTGAAATTATATATATATATGTACATAATTATGAAAATAAAACAATTTTCAAACATCGAAGACTATATATTTTATGTAATCATTAAAATATATGCATTCATTTTTTATTGTTAAATTTGACTTAAACTTTACAGAAAATAATTTTTTATTTACATGAAATGATACATTCGGATATATCTTTATAAATAATGCTTTTTGGAACCTACAATATTGATAAATCTTAATTTGAGCATCATATGTGTGATTTTAAACCCATAACAAAATTGTGTTACAGCATCTTTAATGAATGATGCAGCTATATGCCGCCGGAATGGACCTGAGTCGCCGAAACGACTATTTCCCGTGTTCCATATTGAAGATTTTCCACCTATATATAGTGGACAAAATATTACTATTTTATCGGTGGTTTTTGTATAGTAAGCCTTAGAGTGTTGAATTATTTTTTCAGGGTTGTACAAGGGGTCTAGAGGCGAATTGGGGGAGGGGTGTCCAAACACTGATACTGCCACCTGTGACATAGGCCACAATTTCTTTTTACAAAGCTTCGTTCATACCGCCATGAGTGATATATTCTGAGTGATATGGGTTTTATCTCACAAAGTAAAAACCCAGACTTTCACTTATTAGTATAAACTATTACGAACGACTTGACAGAGCGATATTTTGACAAAATAAAATATCACATATGTCCACTGCGTGACTAATGCAGTAGAGGCAATTTTGCCTATTTTCACATCTGTTTGGTAATTTACGTGGATTGGAGGTACAGTATGCAATGTTTAAATTACTTCCTTTGTACACTTCACAATATTTTTATTTTAATATACATTTTCCTTAATGTTATGAAAATAAGTATGGATCTTGAGGCATGCTGCTTACATTATGTTTAATGATGAATTTCATGTAAATTTTGTTTTCCCCTTATTTAATCCCCTTCCGCGTAGCGGATAGGGGATTTTAGGAATGGCCTCCATCTGTCAGTTCGTCCGTCTGTCTTCTGTCCTTCCGTAACACTTTCGTTTCCGCTCCATAACTTTTAAACCGCTGATTTTTTTAAAAATAACTTGGCAAAATTGATCACCATTATAAGAAAATGTGCAAAGCGCTTTAATTGGGTTGCTAACCCCAAGGTCAAAGTCAGATTTAATGGTCAAATGTATAAAAGTCTACGTTTCGTGTCCCCTCCATAACTTTTAAACCTCTGAATTTTTTTTTTAATAGATTGGCACAAGTGATCACCATTATCAGACAAAGTGCATAACGCAATAATTGGTTGTTATCCCCAAGGTCAAGATCACACTTTCAGGTTAAGTGTTAAAAGGTATACAATTCGTGTCCGATCCATAACTTTTAAACCTGAATTTTTTTAATAACTTGGCACGAGTGATCACCATCATGAGACTATTTGCAGAGCGCAATAATTGAATTGCTACACCCAAGGTCAATGTCAAGTTCATACTTACAGGTCAAATGTTAGAAAGTCTACATTTCGTGTCTGTCCATAACATTTAAACCGCGGCAATGTTTTTAAGATTACTTGGCAGAAATGATTACCATTATGAAACCATTAGCAAAACACAATAATCAAGTCACAATCCTGAAGGTCAGGGTTACACTCAAAGGTCCAATGTAAAAAGCATCTTATTTTTCATGTCCGCTCTATAACTTATAGACAATTCAAGGGTTGTAAAATTACTTGGCACAAATGATCACCACCATAACACAATCTGCAGAGTTCAACATCCAGGTTGCTACCCCCAAGGTCAAGATTATATGTTCTCCATAACTTTTTTACTTTATGGAAGATTTTAAATAACATGACACAAATAATCACCTTCATGAGACTATGCGCTTATGATATGAATGGCATAACATCAAGGTCTTGGCTGGTAAAAGGTCAAGAAGTACACATCCATGTTCACTGGGGAAGGGGATTTAGCTGCCCTTCAGACTGCCTTGTTTTATATAAAGCCGGACAGGATATCAACAACTTTAAGCGTCTTACTCACTCATCCACTACAATTAACAATTGACTCTCAATTATGAGTGTCCGTTATAAAAACAATGATATCCATGTGATGTGATATCTTCCTTGTTCTATTTACATTAAAGTATTCATTCCAATTTATTTACATATCAGCCACGACATCATGTTACAATAAAGAGAAATACATGGAAAACATCTTGATACTGGAAGTTAAATAAAAAAAATCAAAAGAATACATGTTATTATTGTTAAATTATTTTAAGTAAGTTAGTCCTGAAAGTGAAACTAATATTTTCCTTGAATTTTTTCTTTCCTAACGATTCAGCGAGTGTTTAGTCAGGGGTGCTAGGTTACCAGTGCAAGTTTATCAGCGCAGTTTGTACTTAATCTTTACGCTGTTTAAGGTGACAACGGAGTCAATTATCACTGAAAATACCT